ATTCAAATATCTCATGGAGACAGATATTTGGTGTTGTTTGAGTTGATTTTTAAATAGACTTGGAAAACTGCTTGAGGGAATGAAATGTCTTGTTAGAGGCCAGACTTCCAAAGGACTCCAAAGGACTCCTCATGATTCTCTGGAATGTGTTTTAGTAGTGGGAGAGAAAATGCCGACTTCATATCAGCAGTCGCATTCCCAACTCCCAAATATTGATAACACACATTGGTAAGTGATGGTCTTTTAAATAATCTTAGTATCAAATTAGAGATCAAAATGTTACTCGTAGAAACCTTTATTTCTTACTGGTGAGTGGTGACTTTATGAATACGTGTCCTTGTTGCTTTTACCTTTAGAGAATCCATGTTCTGACTTTGGCCGTGGTGTGTCTTGTCTCTCTAAATCTCTGGGATGTCCATCCATTTTGAGATGTTTTAACTTTGGAGTTCCTGTTTTGGGGTTGAGCAGAAAGAGTGGAGAGATGAGGGGGAGTGGAGACAGAATGCATCTAATAAAATATAATACAATGTGACCATCGTTGCACTGCTGTATCTATGTCTTCCTCTCCCCTATCTCTCTCTCTCTCTCTCAATTTCAATTGAATTTAAGGGCTTTATTGGCATGGGAAACGTATGGTAACATTGCCAAAGCAAGTGAAGTAGATAGTAAACAAAAGTGAAATAAAAAATAAATATTAACAGTAAACATTACACTCAGAGGTTCCAAAAGAATAAAGACATTTCAAATGTATGTATATATACAGTGTTGTAACAATGTGCAAATAGTTAAAGTACAAATGGGAAAATAAATAAACATAAATATGGGTTGTATTTACAATGGTGTTTGTTCTTCACTGGTTGCCCTTTTCTTGTGGCAACAGGTCACAAATCTTACTGCTGTGATGGCACACTGTGTTTTTTTACCCAGTAGATAAGGAAATTTATCAAAATTGGGTTTGTTTTCGAATTCTTTGTGGATCTCTGTAATCTGAGGGAAATATGTGTCTCTAATATGGTCATACAGTTGGCAGGAGGTTAGGAAGTGCAGCTCAGTTTCCAACTCATTCTGTGGGCAGTGTGCACATAGCCTGTCTTCTCTTGAGAGCCAGGTCTGCCTACGGCGGCCTTTCTAAATAGCAAGGCTATGCTCACTGAGTCTGTAAATAGTCAAAGCTTTCCTTAAGTTTGGGTCAGTCACAGTGGTCAGGTATTCTGCCACTGTGTACTCTCTGTTTAGAGCCAAATAGCATTCTAGTTTGCTCTGTTTTTTTGTTAATTCTTTCCAATGTGTCAAGTAATTCTTCCATGTTTACTCTCTGCGGAGGCGCGAACGCGAGCGGCGCGAGCGCGGCGCGCCGCGCAGCGAGAGGACGCGCGCGCGAGAGAGCGGCGAGCGCGCGAGAGCGGCCGCGGGCGGCGAGCGCGAGAGGGAGAGAGGCGAGAGAGAGCGAGCGGCGAGGGCGCGCGAGAGCAGGAGAGAGAGAGGGGAGGGAGCGGGAGAGAGAGAGAGAGGGAGAGCGAGGAGAGAGGGAGGAAAGGGGGAGAGAGAGAGAGAGGGAGAGGAAGAGGAGAGCGAGAGAGAGCGAGGGAGAGAGGGAGAGCGAAGAGAGAGAGAGAGAGAGCAGATGCGAGAGAGAGAGGAGATGAGAGAGAGAGAGCGCGAGAGAGAGAGAGAGAGATAGACGATCTCGATGAAGATATATCTCTATATTCTCCTCTCTCTCTCTCTCTCTCTCTCTCTCTCTCTCTCTGCCTCTCTCTCTCTCTCTTCGCTCTCTCTCTCTCTCTCTCTCGCTCTTCCTCTCTCTCATTCTCTATATCTCATTCTCTCTTTCTTATTTATTCAGCATATACAAAGAAACCTCTACAAATGTCTGCCAAATACAATTGGAATAGCAGAAAGGCTGAATGTATCTGTTTAGGCTTCTCTTATTTTATCTTGCTTCAAACTAAATAACTACAACAATTCCCGTAAAACAATATTTCATCCCTGCAGTTGATGACGATACAGGACGATGGTTCATTGGCATTGCATTTGCCTTTGAGGAAGGAGGGGAGAATCTTGAATGTTTCTTTTTAACAATCTAGTGAGAGTTTTTACATGGTTGTGTGTTGTCACACGTGAATTTGCAATGTGTCCCCTCACTATTTTGTGTTGATGGTATTTCCAGTGGCTGTGGGGACTGTGTGAAGTCATGCTAAATGTCTGGCCTGTTATCCCCAGGCTGCTGGGAGGATGGGAGGAGGGGCAAGGAGTGAGCCATGTTGAGGACAGAGAGGAGGTCTTGTCTATATTGTCATCGCTGGCCTCACACTCCCCTCACCTCCATCTCCCAAATGGCCTTCCCTCCCACTCATCAGTCGGCAGCCAACACTGCTCTCTGTTGGCAGTTGATCTAACTACACCGCTGCTAAATCACATCTCTTATGAGCCACTCTGGCTGAACAACAACAGCAGCCAAAACCAATGTCTTTGTTACCTAATCAAATCTAATATGAGATGATTATATGTAATTACAGGCAGACCTGCACACTGTGTCCTCCAGGCTATTAATATCATCAAAGCACAGTAAGAGTGAGGCCCTTCTGCTCTCTGCGTTTCAGGGAGCTAGCATAGTTTATCATATCACTAAACATTGACACTTAGTTGATTGGGATCATTTTAAGAGACCATAAAAATCAATGATTGCAAGAGAGTGGTTTAAAATATGAGAGCCATGTTGGAATTTAAGACCATGTCACGGCTCCTGGAAGAGTTACAAAGGCCTCTTTTTATGGCGTGATTAATGGACAGAGAGAGAGATTACAGGTCACAAGCAGAGTTGCAATAGATAGCTTTATTAAACTAGGTAAATATGCTGCATCAATCAGACAGGGCCTCTCTCCAGCGTTTCTTGGGAGGCAGGACCAGCGTGCAGGATCTACATTGGCTGGTACCACTAGTATGGACATCTTCACAACCAGGGTCAGCATGACAGGATGACTGCTACTGTCACTCTGACCGGTCACCATGTCATAAATATGACCACAGTCGTTCTCTGCCTCCATCACTGATTGGGCAAGGCGCCGCGCTCTTTTCAGGATTCGGTGACTGCTTGGTCCAGTTCTCTGGATAAGAGTGGTCTTTCTGGTCTAACCATTTTAAGCCGTGTAGCCACCGCTCCACGCTTCCTGGTCTAAAGGTTGATTTGTTTTTCAAGGCTTTTTATGCTTGGGTAAAAAGGGGCGTTCCATCACGCCGACCCAATGTCTGTGCTTACTTGGGCGTGGTTACTGACCGGCAAAAGTTTCTATGAAAAAGTTATCTCATTTAGAAGGCTAAAATCACATTGCTATCTTCACAAACGTATTCTCATACTTAATCATATATTTTACACAACATTTAGATGCAAACCTGATAACTGAAATGTGTACACTTTCAGAGATACAGTTATTTAGTAATACCATCCTTAATGACATCACAAAACAATAAACAATATGACATGATTATTCTTTAGATTCCCACCGACCATTCCAAACATTTGGATCTCAACCACAATGTTCCAATGTCCAATCTTTTGATGTTAGAGTTTTTAGGCGGCAATCTGTCCTTGTAACACAGAGACATTCCGATCACCAATACTAGGGACCAACAGGGAGTCGTTTGCTGCAAACCATTTAGGATTGGCGCAAGGGGTCATAAAACCCCCCACATCAATCCCTCCTGTGTTCATAAAAATGACCACGGGAGAGAGAGAGAGAGATCTGTAGACTGTTGCTTCTCTGTATTCTGATCTTGGGCTTCTCACGTGGGACCATTCTCTCAGGTTCCATTGGAATCATGACCATGTCCTGAAAATAAAAATAACAATGATAACCAAAGAGAGACAACAGATCATGTTGGGAAGGATGTAGTTCTGAGTTCTTTGATTTAATTAGTGACAAAATGTTATTGTAATCATAGGGATCCATTTTTTGTTGGGCATTAAAATGTAACCTCCAACAAGAACATTGTCTTCATTCCTCACTCTCTCCCTGCCTATGCAGGTAATCATGCTGTATGTCACATTCAGTGCAAAGCACCACCCCAGTATGGTTGCCGTGGATGCATACTCTTGAGTTTCAGTTTGCATAGACTATAGGAGGAGCTGGCAGGGCCACACTAGTAAGGCCCTAGAGATTTCAATGATTAACCGGTATGTTTTCCTTCTCTTTTGTGTGTGTGTTTAGTAATGCCGTTTGATAAGATTTTATTCACAATGGTCACATTCCATTTTCATAAACCCAGCAGAACTGTAACATGGACATGCTTTGCTAAGACATTTCTGTTGCTGTTTCTGATTATCCTTTTCATACATCCTAATGATGGTCATGGTATGACACCTTGGCAGACGTATATGAGCTCTGTGTCCAATGACCTGATTCCCTCCACTCCTCTTCCTCAACACCACCTCCATTCTCCACATCTCCTTCTACATCCCCCTTCCCTGTTTTCCCTCTGACAGTTTAGTCACTGTTGATCAGCATTTCCACATTGTTCATTTCTTATGTCAATTTATTGTAATTATGCACAATTAATTATACGTGATTCATTGTCATCCCTACCGTTGTGTCGAGCACTTAGCATGAGCAGAGTGACACAGGCAAAACTGGCTTTTATAACTCAGCGGCAGTGCCAGGGAGTGAACTCCCCAAAGATAAGCAGAGTATTGTAGTGCTCTGGCTCACACTTCCTCTGGGCAGGCGATAAAGACCAGGTAGAGATTACATTACATGAATTCCTTTTTCAGAAGCCCTGACCCAGAATGAATTACAAGGTACATTTAGAGCATAGAAAAGGGAGAGATGAGCATCAGCCCAAATACTAAATAATGAATTACTGGAACAGTCACTGTCAATACATAGTGGGCCGCTGGAATAAGGTTAACAAAAAGATATTCGGTACTGTGTAGAGTACAACTGACAGTGTAAAGTGCAAAAACATAAATTCAATTGTGTAATATATTCTTTAGCACAGACATCATGGCCTGCCTGTAAGTCTTAAGATTGAAGTATGAACAAATGGCGCTAATTTGGAAATGCTAATCCACATTTTGAAAGATAACCGTTTGAGAGTATTCCCGCTCAGTCTAGGTGACATGGCAAACAAGGCTGTGCAAACACCTTGAACTCCCCCATGATATCTACAGGCACAAAGTCAGCCTGACCACTACTACAGTGTCACCACAGGCTAATACAGTACACTCTACCTGGCCGTTGCCCATTACTCCTTCGTTGATAGGTAAGGACTGAGAAAGGTGAGGGCTTTTCAGGTACTGCTACGATAACACTCTCGACGGGCTTATTGAACGACACATTAACATTTCCTTTAAAATGTCATCTACACTGAGAATGGTGATGCTGTTCAGCATGATGGGTGAGTAACTTATTGTTCCTGTATTATACTTTTTTTTAAACAGTAATGAGGAAGGATTTTGTACCTACTGTATATATCTTGGCCTTACACATTGGAGTGTTACATATTTGAGATTAAAGGATCATGTTCAAGCAGAGGAAAATACTCATAAAAGTAAAAAAAATGATATGTTTTTTAACAGTCTTCTTTTTTCTAGGATGTGGGCATTTAATGACAGTGATGGTTCCCCAGAAATCTATGAACGTGACAAATGGTGAAAGTGCTCTTCTCCAGTGCACGTTTGTAACCACCGCGCAGAACACCAGCGACCTCATCATCCAGTGGAGTTTTGTTGCCAAAACCTCCATTGTGCCACAGCAGGTATGTAGACTGACGTTACTATGTCTTACGTTGCCACAATGTCACACTCCCTGTGTCCTCAAAGTCACCTGGACCATTCTACACACCCAGTGCTCCAAAGGATATTGTTCGGTTCATGGACAAAAGTGCTAAAGGCAATGTTATTGCACTTACAGAGTCTGAATTTGAAAATGTGTGATCAAACTGCTTTCAGGTATACATGGAAATTCAGGAGAGTCATTGCAGTTGTTGTGCATGCGATTGAATCATATGAGGTCCCACAAGGATTGATGATTTGATTTGTTTTATTATTATTGTGTCATGCATCTTCTGGATGCCCAGCCCACATGGGCTTATAAGACACTGTATTTGCTTTAGCAAAATAAAATAATCATGTCTATATATGCACACATACATACACAGTATATAAACATACGTTCATACAGCAGTGAAAAACAGTTGAGAGAACAAAACAAAAACATTTCAAATATACAACTGATCTTGTCATGTCTTCCAAGCTGGACACATAATTTGCAACCAGGAATACTTATTTCCTAAATAGCCATTAAAGTTTTTCTAATTCAGAATAGTTCCTGTTATCTTGCAACATTTTATCAAACAGTATAATTCTCAAATCATCATATAAAGTACAATAAAATAAAAAGTGGAGTTCATTCTGGACTGCCCCTAAATCACAAACAGTACATAGTTGCTCTTGATTGTTGTGCTTCAGTATGTTGGTGCTTCAGTATTTTCATAAAAGCCGAAGCAGGTAGTATTCAATATGGTGGTTGCTCTTGAGAGCCCATTTTGTGACACACCCTAGCAAGACAACAAAGAGCACAGTCACCAGAGCACAAGTGGCTCCCTGCCCTCTTACCAGAGGCAGTGTTACAGTAGAGCAGAACCTCAGACCTCAGAATTCTCATGTCACACAGTCTCACTAACACTTGGGGTTGCTCCAACATTTTTGGCATATTGTAACCTTCTTCTGTAGAATGAGTAGTCTCTGAAATATCAACACGAAATCTGTCAGTGCACAAATTGTGTTTTTAGTAAGAAATGGTTGTCCAGTGGTTGCTTTTATGCAGGCTCTAAGACATTCTTGCTGTTACTTTCTAGGTGTATTACTCTCAGTCAGGAGAGGACGTTATTTCTAAACCGTATGAAGGCAGGTTGAAGCCTCCCACCTATCCAACTACTGGGAATGCCTCAATAACAATAAGCAACATGCAAGTGTCAGATGCAGGGGCCTACACCTGCGAAGTCCACAACTTCCCTGATGTCAATGGGAAGACTGAGGCCACTATCATTGTCAACGTTCTTGGTAAGTTTTGTTTTTACATTTGGTCAAATGCTTTGAAATTAGTAATGGTTTATTTAATCAATTAATACAATGAAGTCACATATAATAGTAACGTAAATCTTCTTCCTATTTCAGTGTCAACACAACACACAAGCAGATCTATGAAATAGTTACCCTGTTTTTCCTAGTCTGAGTTTTGTGATCATTGAATTACATGCCTTCTGTGATTCCACACATCCACAGAGTTACCAGGCCAACCTTGCAGGCCTCAGTGTCCACAGTAGTTTCCATGGGAACTGGAGCAGACTAGTCTCTTCATTGTCAGTGTCAGAAATTAGAACAGGAACACAGGAGTACAAGACCGCCTCCCGACATGTCTCGTACTCCACAGGAATAGACTGGAGAGACACATGACTATTTTAAATTAAATTAATAATTCCCAGTTCGATGGAGCAGAGAGGTTGTAGTGAAGCATTACGGTGAAGGTATTACACTGTATTCAGTCCTACCATAGAAATGGTCTTGGCCTTTTATTTTTAATACTGTGTATCTATACACATTTGATTGTACAAATCCACAATGGCTGCTCATCTTGCAAATATATCATTGTCTTAATTGGTAATGTCTGTTGTATAAATTCTTCATTTTAGTCACCGTAAACACTGCCAGGATAATGGTGTACAGTACAATGCCACCTTTGTCACCATAGCAAAGTATAAGAGACACTCAGGGGGATGATATCATCTTTACTAGACTGCTCATGTTTGAATGTACCACAGTAACGACTCGTATCAAGTCCTGGCATTCAGTGTTCAGCATGAAAACGTCAACGGTACCTACTACTAAACCAAATCCTGAATGTTTAAAACCACAAGTAGGACCAGCGGGCTGGCCTACAGTTGAATTTGTAGTTGACAGAGTGTTCTGCTGTGTATAGTGTATAATGTACAGATTAATCATTGATCGCACATGAATTGCACTTTTCTACCTGTATTTATTGTATATGTTCTTTGTCTATGTTTGATTATGTTTTTATCTATGCATAGAGCCGCTACCAAAATGTCCCCACAGGGATAATAAAGTCATTATTTTAAATAGTTAGCTACTGGTCCAGGGCAAAGTGTTGACTTTTATGTCTAACTTGGCTATACCCTTTGGGCACTTTCTCTCCCTGCCAGTAGTTGGATCAACTGGGTCCAGCTTGCAGTATATTACGTAAGGTTAACACTTGCTCTCTCTCTCTATCACATGGTCTGTAAGAGAGGCCATCTGTGCCCTTCTGTGCTGTCCATGGTGATGTGGAGTCTGGTCACCTGGTTACCCTCACCTGCCACAGTGAGTGGGGAAGCCCCACCCCCACCTATACCTGGACCAGACTGGATCAGGAAAAGACCAAGAAACCTGTAATGGGGAACACTGGTGGGTTGCCATACTGTTCCTCTGTAGAACACGTTCCCCATCACTCTGTTGTTCTCTGATTCATTAGAATGCTTTTACTAGACTTGTGTTCCTTCTTTTTCTTTTCAGATCCGAAAATAGGATCCTTGTACATCAGAAACATATCCCAGTTTGAGTTTGGAGAGTATCATTGCACTGCCTCTAACGCTGTAGGATCTGCTACTTGCACTGTGGAGCTCAACCATGGTATGGGTAATATATACGTATGCTGTTGTTTTTACTTTTATTGAATGTGGCAGATCTTATATAATATCATCTTTAAACACACTGCTGTAACTAATCTTACCAATAACCCACCATTAACAGAGTTAAGAGACGGGGCCATTGCTGGTGCAGTCATTGGAGCACTTCTTGGAGCTGTCCTTATTATCCTTATCATCTGGTACATGACACACTCCATGAAGAAGCAGAAATACAAGACTGCAAAGGCAACAGAGATGCAGTGAGTGATTATGATTTGTGCTGCTTTTAACTCATTGACAATAATACAATTAAAATGTATGGTGCAGTGTTTTACCTATAGTTTCCCTTTCCCCCGCCAGAGCCATCCCTAAGAGTTCGGCCACAGTGGCGTATGAAGGCGTCCCTACCAGGGGGAGTGGCCATCAAGCCTATGAGAACTCTGGAGGGGTTCCTATGGCAACAAGCAGCCACATCCATTCTGACGCTGACGGAGAGAAGGCTGAAGCTTAGGAGAGGCCTGACACACGTCTGGGGTGACATCACTGCTCTGAAAAACAATGCTCCACTGGAGTTTGTGTTTTTGTATAATGTTTTTATTTTTTATTCACAATTTAAGTAATGCTTCATATTTGTTTTATGTGATATAAGAAATTCCAAATATCTTGATTTTACATACAAAAAAATGCAAATCACCCTACACCCTGATTAATGTGGTAATCCATCCATTCCCTGAATAAATTTTTATTCCCATTTCATATTCATTGTAACATTCTAACCAATGCTCATCCATGCTTTCTGGAAAAAAATAAAGACACATTTAATTTTGCATAACTGAGACGAGCGTTTCATTACTAATGTGAATATACACATGGTCTGGAATGACAGGAGGTAAATCCTGAGGAGAGCTCTAATATGTTTTGTCTGTAATGACTGTGATGACTCCCTGTGGCCTTTCCAGGCACCCTGAGGAGAGCAACATGAGGGGAGCACAGCCAATCAGAGGTGGACTCTGCCACTTGACCTTAACACCTCGCTGCTGTCTCCAAGAAATACATTTCTAAGAATGAGCCCATGGAGAAAAATAATGGTATAAAAGATTAGAATAGAGCTCTGTGTTAATGTTGGGTTAATCCCTCACCTTTTTCATTATCAGGAGAGGGAGAGAGCTGTGTGAGTACAGAGTCCATCTGATCCCACATTCACGATTCAGATATGCATGAAAACAGAGGAGTGTGGACCTATAAGTCTCTGGTGGGAACAGATGGATACTCCAGAAAATTGACCCGAACAGAAACGAAAAACATTGTTGTCAAATATTATGCCACATACTGTTTCAAGGACAGTACTAATGACCAGTAGGGGGAGCTGAAAGCCCAGAACTGGTGTTACTGCTAACAAAAATCACAGGAAACTTAACTGAAATTTGAGCCAGGTACATGCACAGCTAAAGGTCACATTTTTGTTAAAAGGGCACCTGCCCCTTTGCCCTCCCACTCACCAAGTGCCCTTTTGGGTGGTAGTATATATACAGTGCCTTCAGAAAGTATTCACACCTTTTGACTTTTTCCACATTTTGTCGTGTTACAGCCTGAATTTTAAATGGATGAAATTGAGATTTTTTTTGTCACTGGCCTACACACAATACCCCATAATGTCAAATTGCAATGATGTTTTAGGAAATCTTTACAAATTAATACAAAATGAAACGTTGAAATGTCTTGAATCAATAAGTATTCAACCCCTTTGTTATGGCAAGCCTAAATAAGTTCAGGAGTAAAAATATGCTTAACAAGTCACATAATCTACATTTTAGTCATTTAGCAGACGCTCTTATCCAGAGCGACTTACAGGAGCAATTAGGGTTAAGTGCCTTGCTCAAGGGCACATCGACAGATTTTTCACCTAGTCAGCTCAGGGATTAGAACCAGCAACCTTTCGGTTACTGGCACAACGCTCTTAACCACTAAGCTACCTGCCACCCCCATAATAAGTTGCATGGACTCACTCTGTGTGCAATAATAGAGTTAAAAATTATTTTTGAATGACTACCTTATCTCTGTACCCCACACACTAGAGAGAACAGGAGTATGGGAAAAAACACGCTGGTAGGCTTGACGAGACAAGACGAACTGGCAACAGACAAACAGAAAACACAGGTATAAATGCACAGGGGATAATGGGGGAAATGTCCGACACCTGGAGACAAGCACAAGACAGGTGAAACAGATCAGGGTGTGACAAGGGAGGTTTTTCAATGCCTCACAAAGAAGTGCACCTATTGGATAGATGGGTAAAAATAAAAACGCTGACATTGAATATTCCTTTGAGCATGGTGTAAGTTATTAATTACACTTTGGATGGTGTATCAATACACCCAGTCACAACAAAGATACAGGTCTCCTTCCTAACTCAGTTGCTGGAGAGGAAGGAAAGCACTCAGGCATTTCACTGTGAGGCCAATGGTGACTTTAAAACAGTTACAGAGTTTAATGGCTGTGATAGGAGAAAACTGAGGATGGATCAACAACATTGTAGTTACTCTACAATGCTAACCTAATTGACAGAGTGAAAAGAAGGAAGCCTGTACAGAATAAAAATATTCCAAAACATGCATCCTGTTTGCAACACTGAAGTAATGCTGCAAAAATTTGGCAAAGAAATTAACTTTATGTCCTGAATACAAAGTGTTATGTTTGGGGCAAATCCAATACAACACATTACTGAGTACCACTCTCCATATTTTCAAGCATAGTGGTGGCTGCATCATGTTATGGCAGGGGTGCAGCCACCACTATGGCTGCACCCCTGCCATAACAGTTATTTCCCCCCCACTTCTAAAACCAAAGTTATGCCCCTGTGTTATGGGTATGCTTGTAATCATTAAGGACTGGGGAGTTTTTCAGGATAAAAAATATAAGTAATGGAGCTAAGCACAGGCAAAACCCTAGAGGAAAACCTGCTTCAGTCTGCTTTCCACCAGACACTAGTTCACCTTTCATTTAAGTCATTTAGCAGACGCTCTTATCCAGAGCGAGTTACAGTTAGTGAGTGCATACATTTTTATACTGGCCCCCCGTGGGAAACGAACCCACAACCCTGGCGTTGCAAGCGCCATGCTCTATCAACTGAGCTACAGGGGACTTTCAGCAGGACAATAACCTAAAACACAAGGCCAAATCTACACTGGAGTTGCTTACCAAGAAGACAGTGAATGTTCCTGAGTGGCTGAGGTAGTTTTGACTTAAATCTACTTGAAAATCTATGGCAAGATCTGGAAATTGTTGTCTAGCAATGATCAACAACCAATTTGACAGAGCTTGAAGAATTTTGAAAATAATAATGGACAAATGTTGCACAATCCAGGTGAGGAAAGCTCTTAGAAAGACACAGCTGTAATCGCTGCAAAAGGTGCTTCTACAAAGCAGTGACTCAGGGGTGTGAATACTTATGTAAATGAGATATTTCCATATTTCATTTTCAATAAATGTGCAGAAATGTCTAAAAACATGTTTTCATTTTGTCATTATGCGGTATTGTGTGTAGATGGGTGAGAAAAATAATACATGTAATACATTTTGAATTCAGGCTGTAACAACAGTATAATTTTACATATTAGTAAATGCAAGTTTAAGTTGAGAATAGTCTGATGGGTGAAAAAGTCAAGGGGTATGAATACTTTCTGAAGGCACTGTATGTTTTTTGTATACAGTTTTTGTCGTTGTTCTGAAGCCACTGCCCCGCCACCCTCCACCCCCACGACGTCCGTTGGTTGCGCCTGTTGTACAAGACCTCGCGCGCGCGCCCGGGTTGCGCCTGTTTGCCAGTCTGCCTTGTACGGAGATTGCGCATGCCCGGTATCCAAACGTGTATGCTTGAGATGCGGTCAGCAGTTGAGTGTGTGTAGCTAGCTAACTAGTTTAAATATCAACAGTACTGCCACAGCAGCATAATATTTTATTAACACTTCATAACACTAGATTTATAGCATCATCAATATTCGGTCTGGTTGGCTAATACGCGTAGCAGAGAGAGGCAGAAAGATAGAGGAGCGTCTGCATCAACGACCCTCTGACTCAACTCCATGCATTCTTCAGTCGGGAGAAGCACTGTGTGTCAGGGCAGCAGCAACACAGGTAGTCTACTCTAGCTAACCACCATAATACTAAAATATCAACACAAGCCACTTGCCAGCCAGCCATGTATCATGAGTTAGAAGATTATTAATATTACATTATGAAGTTATTATTTAAGAATTTAAGAACATTGAAGATGCTAACTAGCAGATTAACATCAATTATCAACAATGACAAGCTCAAAGCCCACCCTCTTTTCCCTATGTCAATCATGTCTTTAGGAGGCTTACAATTTGTAATGAGTGTGTTGTAGAAAAAAAAGTCATTTTCTTAAAAATAAAAATACATTGCTACAGAATTATAAAATTATTTTTATTTTCAGCACCTGCCCCCTGAAAGGTATGTGCACACCCCTGATAAGAATGGGTTTGAAATGTAAGACAAAGGATAATTTACAGGTTATTATACAAATGACAGAAAATATGTTTGTCAGCTACGGACATTTCTTCTTTTTTAACACCTTTATTTAACCTACGGACATTATTACTTCAGTTATTGTACTGCAAGGTAAACTCATCCCAATGCAAATAGCCTAAATATGCACCAAACAGTATTTATCCAAGATAAAGACTGGAAATGGCTTTGTTCTCTTTAATGAAAGGCTGCAGATCATCCACCAGAGACAGTGATATCATCAAAGTGAGTGTCTGGCTTTGAACAACAGGTATATCACTCTTCCTCTGCTCCTCCGTTTTAACTGATGAGTCTCTGTGATCAATCTATGCTTTCAGTCTAAGCCAAGCCTGTTTTTATGCAGTAGGTGATAAAACTAAATAATTCAACACATAATTTACTTGATAAATCAGTGAATAACTGAGTGAATCCTGACAGTGATTGGATTAGACTACTTAAAATGTAGATAATATACTACCCCTACTATACAGACTACTCACATACTTACTTAAATTGATCAGTACTCTGTTATCATTTAATATCAATTTAATAGAAATGTTTTGAAAGCAAGAAAATAATGATTCCATAATAATTAAAGGCTCAAAGTGTTATCTGAGGAGATAATCCCTCATGAACAACAAATGAAAGTAACTTTGGTGAACTTAATTAATCAGTACCTTTAGTGAATTTATGCAACTGTAAAAGGCAAATATCTCCATAAATAAACTTCAAGGCTCTCTATTGTGTGGAAATATACATTTATTGATCCCATGGCAGAAAAAACTATTTAAAAAAGTGTACAAGACTGACACAACATGGCCATAACAGCCTTTGTCAGTACTTCATAGAATGAATACATTTTCAGACAACAGAGGTTAAGGAAAAAAATACAATTGAGGCATACCCGTGGTATACCACGGCTTTCAGCCAATCAGCATTCAGGGCTCGAACCACCCGGTTTATAATGCCCTTTTAACCGTGACA